TCCCATTACCGCTTTCCCTGGTCGCCCGGTTACATGGTGCCAAATATTTTACGAAGATGGACGTTCGGTCCGGATACAACAATATCCGTATTCACCCAGACGATTGATGGAAAGCTGCCTTTACTATGGAATATGGGCTCTTTGAGCTGAATGTGATGTTTTTCGGTCTTTGCAATTCCCCGGCTACCTTCCAGGCATACATGAATAAAATGTTCCAGCAGGAGGTCAACGAAGGATGGCTCGTTATATATATGGACGACATCCTGATATTTTCTAACGACCTCACTTCCCATCACGAACGTACCCGGCGCGTCCTTGAAAGAATTCGGCAAGAAAGACTTTTCCTTAAACCGGAAAAATGTACCTTCGATGCCCAAGAAGTGGAGTACCTTGGAATGATTATCCGTCCCGGATGCGTCGCAATGGACGATGCTAAAACCACTGGTATTCGGGAATGGCCTACACCCACCACCATAAAGGAAGTTAGGTTGTTCCTAGGTTTCTGCAATTTCTACCGGAACTTCATTTCCCACTACTCCAACATCGCTAGACCGTTGATTGATCTCACCAAGAAAGACGTCAAGTTCCTTTGGACGGAACAATGCACGTCTGCCTTTACCGAACTAAAGGAATGCTTTATGAAGCAGCCAGTCCTTCGGAACCCAGATCCTTCTAGACAGTTTGCTGTCACCACTGATGCATCTCTTGTCGCCACTGGAGCGGTCCTGCTCCAGACCGATGATAATGGCGTCTATCACCCGTGTGCATACCTATCCCAGACATTGAACCCGGCAGAACGAAACTATCAGATCTTTGATCGCGAACTTCTTGCGGTTATTCGTGCATTGACAGAATGGCGTCACTACCTGGAAGGGAACCCTCATCCTATCATCGTATTCACCGACCACAAGAACCTCCTGTACTTCAGAACCGCACAGAAATTAACCCGTCGACAAGCCCGATGGCAGTTAATCCTGTCATGTTACGATATCGAACTCCATCACGTCGCCGGAACAAAGCTTGTTGCTCCTGATGCCCTTTCACGTCGCCCTGATCACGGAACAGATTCCCCCGATGATAACGCTGATGAAACACTCTTACCAGACTCTATGTTCGTTCGCCTCCTCGATACTGAACTCATGACCACACTCGTCAATCCTGACCCTGACGACCCCGACCCCATCTTCTCTGCTGCTTCCGATGCGCTGGATGGCCTATCACTTCCGCCAATGAAATCCGCCCTCTCAGACTGGAAAATTAAGGACGATATTCTTTATTACAAGAACCGTGCCTACGTCCGCCCTGCCGGACAGCGTCTCATATTGGAAAGATGCCATGACCACCCTACTGCTGGCCACCCTGGCCATTTCAAAACAGAGGAATTGGTTAAACGTGATTTCTGGTGGCCCGCTATGGGCACCTATGTTCGCAAATACGTTGAGGGATGTGCTCTCTGTCAGCAAATGAAATCTGACACCCATCCGACGACCCCCCCCCTTGTCCCTATCCCCTCCGCTGCCGCAGCTCCTTTCACTCAGGTCTTGGTTGATCTTATCACCGACCTTCCCCCCTGTGCGGGTTTTGATTCTGTCATGGTCGTGGTCGACCATGGGCTTACGAAGGGGGTAATTCTTATCCCATGTACCAAAACTATAACTTCCGAAGGAGTCGCCAACAAATTCTTCAAATACGTCTATCGGCGATTCGGCCTGCACGAAAAGGTCATTTCGGATCGCGGCCCACAATTCGTATCCAAGTTCTCTCAAGCTCTTGCCAAGCTTCTGAAGTATGACATAGCAGCGTCAACCGCCTATCACCCTCAGACCGACGGACAGACCGAACAACTTAACCAGGAATTGGAAACGTACCTTCGTATATATTGTCGAAACCACCCCGAAAACTGGGTAGAACATCTCCCCATGGCAGAATTCGTTCACAATCATCAAAAACATGACTCTCGCAACACATCCCCCTTCTTCCTTATGATGGGATACGAACCAAGAGCCCTTCCACATACTTTATCCGATTCCACAGTCCCTGCAGCAGAAGACAGACTTCGTTCACTCCAGAAGTCTAGAGAAGAAGCACTCTCTTGCCACGCTCTCACAATGCAACATATGGCAGAAAGAACTCACGGACAGAAGTACCACCCTTGGAAGATCGGAGATAAAGTCTGGTTATCTGGGAAGAACCTAATCACGCAATTGCCTTCACGAAAGCTTGCCCCTAAACGATATGGTCCATTCCCAATCACCGCCGTCCTGTCTCCCATCACATTCTCACTCCAGCTACCACCACAGTGGAAGGTCCATCCCACATTCCATGCTTCCGAGTTATCATCCTATCACGAGACAGAAGTACACGGACCGAACTTCCACAACCCACCCCCTGACGTCATCGATAACAAAGAGGAATATGAAATTGATGCGATCTTATCGCATAAAGGAACAGGCAAATGAAGACGCTATCTCTTATTGTGGAAAGGATATTCATCCACTAGTAATGAGTGGGTTCCTGAGGAGAATCTCAGGAACGCTTCTAAAATCCTTGTCGCCTATAAGAAGGCCCATGGATTGTAAACCTCCCAACAATGTCCCACATCGAACGACTACGCCTTTGCATCCTTCGTATCGAAGAACTTACTGCTGCCATGAACACTGTCGCTGAAGGAAACGCCCACCCCCTAACGCTCCTAGATTACCAAACTGCCACCGCCGCCAGCCTTGCCGCACAACACACACCCCCCTCTGAAACATCGCCGCCCACTTCGGACTCTACCCTCACCCTTACCGACGACTCCACCCTCACAGACTACTTCTCTGTCATTGATCAAGTCGAAACCAGTGCCCTGTTCGAATCCGCCATTACCTCACAGCAATACGCTATTGAGATAGATCGCCTCCTCGGAGAAAGAGGAGCAATCTCCAGCGGTCTGATAATTAGGATTATCAGAGATGCCAGCCTTATTGATCGCACCGCCGCACTCCTTGATGATGAGCGTCATCAAACTATTTTCCGTCATCTTCACATCCGCATTCGCAATACCGCAATCCAACTCTTACCAGAAGAGACAAGAGACGCTATCAGGGAAGCCATTCACATCGTCACCGAGCGAATCGCTCTCAACCCTGTCACACGACCACCTTCTCCCCACGTCGCTGTCCCTGTACCACCCCCACCAACTCACGTCACAACTACCGTGGAAGATCAGGATAATCTTATCCCTCCTATTGCCGTACTTGACGTACCGACTTCTCCTTCTCCTGACCCAGTCACACGCACCACCCGACGACTCCCGCTCAAGAGAAGATCCTCCCGCCTCGCCACCAAACGAGCCGCCTCCGTTTCCCCCACCAAAGCACCACTCAACAAACGATCACGGTCACCTTCCCCCCCAAACCAGTCCTCATCCGTTACAGTTGTGAAAACATCGCCAGTCGATAACGTCGTATGTCGCAACTGCCACGTCACTGGCCACCGTCATAAGAACTGCCCAGCGTATTACTGCAGAGTTTGCAAAGAGTACGCGCCGGGTCATCTGTCGGTCTTTTGTAGAGAGCTGAAAGGAGAAGTGGTTATTCCTTTGGTATGGACTGACGTCGGTTTTTACGACACACTCGCTCGCTGGGAGATCGAGCAAGACGCCATCGCTCATGCTGAGCATCTGGTGCAATCTACCATCATGGAAGAACAAGACGACCTCCTTCATTCCAACTACGACGCGGATCCCATCTACTGGGCTAATCAGGATATGTGAAGTCGGCGACTTCATCGCTAAACAAGGGGTAATGTTACAGCAGTGGTTACCCCCTATCTCTTTCTCCGTACTCATGTGTATTACGTCATGACCGCACCTGGATGTGCCATCATTAGACCAGCGTCCGTCTATACTTGTATTACAGCACGACCGCCACGTGCCGTCGCTAGCTGACTTATCCCTTATCTCTGACTCGACTCTTATCTCTGATTCGGTCCTTATCTCTGACTCGGCCCTTATCTATGACTCGACTCGATGACGTATACGTACCTGCCCTAAAGCAGGTTACTACTATATAACACTGGTCTTGTACTTAGGTAGACTTCACTTTAATCTACTAGGTCCAACCTGAACTATCCTTCGCTTAAGACCCCCAATCTTAAGCCGTCTGATAACCGATATTCAAGTTAGAGACACTCTCTCTAACCTGTCTTAAGAACCTTACATTTGTGAGGATACGATCTGGCTTTAGGCGTACTCTTATCGAGTACCTATTGTCGCGCTTATCCTAGTCGACCTATGGTTTACCGTAACAAGTGCAATATAGTGGCTCCCCAAGACAATCTTGACATTTGTAGACCCCATCCTGGTTGCAGACGATGCATATCCTATCTTCTGGTGGAGCTTCTCAATCCAGGAGGTGATGCAGATATGATTCCTGCCTTGGCAGCCATTGCCTGAGGTAGTCATTCTGACTCTGCATTTTTTATGCTTAGCTATTGTTTGAATGACAATCCAATGTTTTACATGAACTTGCCATGGTTTTTGGGAGTTGCAAAGGCTCAAATGAGCCTTGGTCATGCTCATAAGCATTGTCAGGAAAGTCTTCCCAAGGAGGTGGTGCCTCAACAGGCTGAAGTGTTGGTGATTCTGGGGGAGAGTCAGGCATGGACCTGTAGGCATGTTGTTTTGTGCTTGCAAGTGGGACCTTGACCCAAGTTTTCCTACCCTTGCTGCCCCTTTCTTCTACCCTGTGGGATTTTTGCAGTGGGGTGCATCTACCTATCTTCATCTTATTTTCTGATGTTGCAAGCAAAGCATTAGCTCAGGAAGGTCGAATGAATCATTGTTGCAATATGATGTTATGCAGTCTTGATGCATCATTACAAATTCATTTCCACTAATGGCATTGCATCCAATATGGGTCAATTAACCAACTGTTAGGCTTTGCTCAAAGTTTGACTTGTCACCATTATTACTTCCACCTTGCTTATCCTCGGCCCATTCTGCAATCTCATTCACCATGGCAAGATCAGGTCACTCCACTCAGTTGACTTCTGGAAGACATAGGGCATGTCAACCACAGACACAGAAGCTCACAGAAAACAAAATTTCGGAGTTGAAGAACTACCTTCCTGAGTGGACTTCAGCAAAACGGAAAGAGAAGCGAGCAGTTTTCACTGCCATAGCTAGGGCTGCCAGGTTATTTGCTCCTAAGGTTGACCAAGCACAATGGAAGAAGAGGAAGCAGGTGATTCATCCTCGCTATGTTGAAAAACTAAAATTTTAATATCTTATTCTTCCATCAATGCTCAGATATACAAGACATGGTTGTTCAACAACAGGAAAAAGAAGGAAAGGAAGGACATGATAAAGTATGGGAGGAAATGGACACCTAGGATGGTGATCTACCAGTGGAACCAGGAAGAGGTGCTAAAGAGGATTGAGGACGAGTCTGGGGCAAAGCCAGGAGGTCCCTGTATGTTCAAGCATTATCAGGCAGCTGTGAAGAGAGTCATGGCTGAATTGTCCGACGACAAGTTGGAGAAGGCAAAGGAAACAGCCAAAGAATGGTCCAACAACTTTCCTCCTCCTGAGATACAGGCACAAGTCGCTCATAAGAAGGGACCTGTGTATATGGAGCACTTTTCGAAGGAGATGTGGAGGCAATGCAGGATGAGAGTGTTTGTGATGTCGGCTTGGAAGAATGAACAGGGAGAGGTGCTGTTCAGGATGTAAGTGAATTGTGTCGGCCATCACAGATCTTTGATCTCAATTGATGTCATGCAGGCACAATGATAATGAGGCATTAGGAGATGGGGACAGCTTCATGAAGACAAAGGACTGGGAGGACATCAAGCCGGTTTGGCAGGAGTATGTGCAGGAACAGTTTGGTGAGTGTTTGAACTCTGGCTACTAGAAGGAATTTGTTGATTGTCGTGATGATAGGTGTTGGGGCATGGGATGGAGGATGACAGATGAAGGGAGGTCAAAAAAGAATCAGAAAGCCTGCTTTCAAACTGGAAACTGATGGAGATGGGATGCCGTTGCTTCCAGACATCACCGAAATGAAACTCAAGGAGAAGAAGGCCATAGTGAGGGCATTTCTTACATCGCACTATCATGAGTCTATCATCACAACACCCAAGAATTTGTTGAATGCATGGACACAGGGATCTGTTCTGGGAGTGACAAGGCAGTCATGCCATGGAGCACCATCATACAAAGTCAGGATGGCTTTGTGGCAAGGAAGTATGTTCCGGTGGATGTGGACTTGAAGGAGCCTTCCAAGTTGCAAAATTGGGACACTATGGCCTTACTCAATTTCTGGCATGCTCGGCAGGAGAAAGGCAAAGGACCAACATTCCTGTTCAAAGCATGGAAGAACAAAGATGGAGACATGGTAGCATCAGTTGTGTCTGGGAATTCGCCTTCTCATCAGACTCATAAAGTCAGAAAGCAGATGATCCGAAGGCCTGAGAATTTGTCAACCGACACTGAGAGCGATCCTGGGAGTAATCACAAGAGTGACTCTCATCACATGGAGGATGATGTTGATGATGATGCAGCCAATGGTAGATCCCCACAAAAGAGACCCAGAAGAGAGCCAGGTCCTTCGACAGCACATGAAGGGACAGCAGTCCCATGTGCAATTCCAAAGCCTTGCCTGGTGAAGCCGGCTAAAACTGGTGCACTGCTGACATCACAAATGGGCAACCTCCTGGCTGGGATGAGTGACAGAGTCACCAGCAATGTTGAGGAAGATGCTGGAATGGAAGGAGGGCACACATCTCCAGTGCCAAAAAACATGCAGGGAAAAAAACAGGCAATTGAGCCATCAGTGAGGACAACCTGGAGTAAATCAACTCAACAGCCATCAGACAATACCTCTCAAGTGACAAGAGCAAGGGGAAAGAAGTAATGGACTGATCCTACACTGCCTTCCTTTATGTACATGTCAATGTTATTCAATCTTCATGGCTCAGGAGTCCTGGGTGTTGAACATGGAAGTTTAAGTCTTGCTTTGGCTCACCAAGTCCTGAGTATCAAACACCAAAGTTCAATTCTTGTTGTACAGAGGATCACCGAGTCCCAAGTTTGATTTGAAGATTGAACTTGGGACTTGGTGATCCTCTGTACAGTGAGAATTGAACTTTGGTGTTTGATACTCAGGACTTGGTGAGCCAAAGCAAGACTTAAACTTCCATGTTCAACACCCGGGAACTCCTGAGCCTCCGGAACTCAATTGGAAATGGAAGAGGAATGTGTTGCAAATTCAGTTGTTTACATGATGTGGGTATGTTAATGAAAATTTGGAAGTTTACATGTGATTTGACTACTATCAAACATTTGGTACTTTACATTTGAATCTGATCTTCAAACCGATTGATCAGTGAATCTACTACCTTGAGCATTTCAATGCTCATCCGTTGGGCTCTTTGCAACCTCTGGAGGTCCGCATCAGCTCTTCTGAGTTTGTTGGAAGTTTCTGCCCAAGCCATCTGGCAGGGTCACTCGGCCTCGAGTAGCAGTGGAATGGAAGGATCAGGAAGATCCCTGGTACAGTGTTTGTAATCACCAAGTTGATCTTGAATGGATTGCACTTGCAGAAAAATTAGCACAGAGATAAATGATCTGCTTTGTCAGATACTCACACCCAGTGTGTTCATATGACCCAAATGGTCGGAACTCCCAGGCCATCGAACGTAAATCTTCGTTAGTGAGCTCCAGCTGCTCTGACTGAAGTTCATTACAGGTGTCATCCACTTGGGAGATACAATAAGTATCTATAATCCTCTGGAATGAATGGACTCACATGACATAGATGCTTCTGATGCAGCTGGAACATCAATCTTAGGATCGGCAGAATCCGGCAACTCATCCACATTGATGATATCATCCTCAGGCCCAAGGTACAAGTCTGGATTGATGAGAAAACCTGGATGATCAGCTTGAGCCAGAGGTGATTGATCTGCAAGGGCTTAGTGAGCATGCATGGTGATCCTCAATCCTAATGAATGGATCAACTCACTGGGTATTGCAGCCAAGACATCTGGTGATCTGGATGATGGAGAATCATATTCTATGTCATCATCCGGCCCTAGGTATAGATCATCTAAGGGATACCCAGTAAATAGATAAGGCATGATAAAAATACAACACACCTAGTGATGCCCAGGACACAGTGGACTCATCCACATCCATTGAATTGTAGTTGGTCATCAGAGGGTCATTGAATTGAACGGCTGACTGTGGACTCATGTTATGTGGGGAACTTACTGATTTTTTGACTGATAATTGAAAAAACTTCGAAGTTCAACACAAAACCGGCGATTGCCAGAAGTTGAACCAGGACCAAATAAAGACAAACAATCAACAATTTTATCAATTGTCCATCAAATGTGTTGTTTCTTTTGAAACTTCATCCTTGTGATAACTGATTTCAACCCAATTTCAAGATCTTTAAATCTCTCAACTCAATCATCATGTCCACTCCAGTTGACAACTCTTTGACCGGTCTCAAGGCATCCACTGCCCAGATCATGGCCATCATCAGCAGCGCCCGGCAGATTCCCCTGGGTAACAGCCACTTTTCTCTGACAACACAGGTCAGTTCACTTGTGGTATGTAGCTTTCTTTTTTTTTTTCTTTTTTTCTCTCTAACATCCAGGCAGGCTCAAGTGATCAAGGACTATGGGTCTGGACCCCTGCCCAGCATCATGCTTTTGTGCTTCAAGGAGCTATTGCACGTCCGGGGCATGACTCCCCAGGTCTGGCCCAACTGGCACAACATCAGGTACGACAATCCCTGTCTCTTGATGCACGTCTGGCGCCCCAAGCTCCTCGCCTGGGAGGCCTTAGGTGACCATACCTTTGATCTCCCAGTTGCTGCTCCTCCCTCCACAGGTCCGATTCCAGTGGACCTTCCCTCCCCACCCATCTGTGCCGGCAATGTCGCCAGTCCCTCCACCAGCACCACCACCAAGTTCTGGGACAAGGGGAAAGGTAAGGCCATCGATGCTGACCTGGAGCCTGAGCTGGAAGGGAGCTGGAAGAGGAAGTCTCCCATGATTTCGGGACTCTCCTCCCAATCACCAAAGTCTGCAATGAAGACTTGCAAGCATGTGAAGTCCTCTCACTGGGTGATGTCCAAGCCCCTAGTGGACTTGGAAGATGAGGAAGACATGGGTATTCAGGTATGTCGTCTGGTTCATCTTTGACTTGGCTCACATTTTCTTGTAGCCATTGTCAGGTGGAGTGCCAGATGTTGTCATTCCCCGGCTCTCCAATTCGCCTAGATCACCCCAGGTTCCGACCAAAAAGCCCTTTGGCCCCACTACAGTAAGTCATGTTTATGCATCCAGGACTCGGGTGTATGCTCACAATATACCAGGTGATTGCCAGCAGTCACCTGGCGGTCATTGAGCCCTCCCAGCCGACTCCCAAAAGCCCAGTGGAGGCACCCCCAGTCATCAATGGAGGTGATATTCTCATTCCCGGACCAGTGAGTACTTTGATTTATTTGAAAGTGTCCATTCACTAACACAATCCACAGAACAACCCATGCCAGGCTTGCACCAAGCTAAACTGGGACTGCGCAACTTGGTTGGACAAGAGGACTGGGAATCCGTGTATGTTGTGCATCTGCTGCACAACAAAGAAGATCAAGTGCATCCCGGCGACTATGGGTACCCTGCCGAAACATGTTCTAGGGTCCTCTACCACCCAGAACACAAGGTCCAGGACACCCTCAAAGGCTCCCTCCAAAGCTCCCCCTGCCTCCCAATCCAAGGCCCAGACTTGCAGTCAGTCTTGTGGCAAGTCCGGAACTCCAGGTGTTGTGGCTGTGACAACTCCCAAGACCCAGACGTGTGGCCACAGCAAGACTATCACTGCCGTCAAGGCACCTGCACCTGCACCAGCTCATAAGTCACCCGAGTTTTGTTTCATCACCATCTGACCATAATTTTCCCTTGTAGCACCTCCGTCTTCGAGTTCGGCAGTCCCTGCTCCAGCACCCGGTCCAGCAGTCCCTGCTGCAGCACTTGACCTGCCCATGCTGGATCTCCATGCCATAGCAATTGTGATTCAGGATGGCACAGCTCACATCGCCATTCTCGAGGCTCATGTGGCAGAGCAGGATGGTAAGATTGATACCCTGCAATGCCTCCATGAAGGCCTTAGGTGCAAAATCGTTGACTGGCACCCTGCATTCCCACTTCCCAAACCTCCAGCCAATGCAACATCCTTGTTGCTTGATCAATCTGTCCCCCCATCCATGTCACCATCCACATCTGCACTCCCCCCTCTCATTGATCTCTTGATTGGAGAGATGACGCCCACACCCCCGAAATTTGAGGATGCCTCTGCCATTGAAGGCCTCCTGTTTGAGTACAACCAGGTTGTTCAACCAGAGCTTCCAGATATGTCCAGCGAAAATGTGGACCCAGGTGATCCGGGCAACCTGGTCCCAGAATATGATTCTTCCAATGACATGGATGTTGAGGTGAAGGTTGAAGCATCTTCTGAGGAGGTTGATATGGCTACATAATTGCATAGTGATAGACATATGTACAAGTTTTCCAATGAATGTTACCTCTGCCAGTCCATTTATTCAATCACCAAGTCTCAAGCACCAAGTAGCAAAACCCAAAAGTTAGAAACAAACATTGAAACTCGAAGCCCAACAGTTGTAACAATGTATGAGTTTCAAGTTTTGAGTCTCAAATCACCGAGTACCAAGTCCTGAAACCTGAACATCGAACCCTGAAATCCGAAACTTGAAACTCATCAAAATGTATCAGTTTTGAGATTTGAGTGTTGAGTTTACAAATCGAGACTCAAAACTTGAAACTCATACATTGTTATGACTGTCAGGTTTCAATGTTCGGGACTCAGGACTCAAAACCTGACAGTCATAACAATGTATGAGTTTCAAGTTTTGAGTCTTGAATCACCAAGTCCCAAGTCCTGAAACCCAAACATCGAACCCCTTATATCAAACCCCGAAATCCGAAACTCGAAACTCATCAAAATGTATGAGCTTTGAGGTTTGAGTGTTGATTTGTAAACTCAACACTCAAAACTCAAAACTGATACATTTTGATGAGTTTCAAGTTTCAGATTTCGGGGTTTGATATAAGGGGTTCAATGTTCAGGTTTCAGGACTCAGTACTCGCTGTGTTGACTTTGATCAATGTTGACAGGATCTGAGTCTGAATGTCATTGATGACTTGGATCAAAACTAGTGCAACAGCATTGCTCATATGTCCATATAGTATACCAAAACCTCGGCCCATATGTCTAAATGATATGTATTTGGGCATACCCATTTATCTAATATACCCTATGTCGGCCCACCTGTATATATAATACATATTTCCTGCCCCATCAGCCCACCCATCTATCTAATATACCCTACATCGGCCCACCCATCTATCTAATATAACCCCCACCTCAGCCCACCCGTCTACAAATAATACTAATACGTTGGCCCACCCATCTATATAATAATATCTACCATACATCTCTCTTCAGCCCAGCTGTCTATAATATATGTCTATCCTACTCTACATATTGCCCAGATGGGCCCACCCATCTCCATCAGTAATAATATTTCTTCTGGTCCATCCACCATTGTCAAGGATATTTATGACATCAGCCCACCTGTCCCCATCGAGGATATACATAACATCAGCCCATAGTCCACTGGCCCATCTTATACAGGATATTATGTAGGTCAGGTGACCCATATAATATGGAGTTTGTCACTGAAGGGGCTCAACGGCAATCATGATGTAATACAAGATATGAGTCAGAGATAAGTCTAGCGGCAGCATCATGCAGCTTGTGACATAATACAAGGTAGAGAGAAAATGAATAGGGGCATACATGATTGTAACATTACCCCTCATTTAGAGACAAAGTCACTGACTTTAGTTATCCTGGTTAGCCCAGTAGACCAGGTCAGCATCATAGTTAGAGTCCAATAAATCATCCTATTCTTCAGTAACAGAAAACTGCAGTCTATCAGCAATCTCAGCAGCACGATAAAGAGCATCTTGCTCTGTTTCCCAACAAGAGAGAGATTCATAGAAACCTGGATCAGTCCAGAACAACAGGATAACCACCTCGCCTTTCAGGTCTTTACAAAAGACCAATAGGTGTCCAGGTGCATAGGCCTTGCAAACCCGACAGTAGTACGTCAGACAATTCTTGTGACAATGTCCGGTGGTATGGCAGCTGCAACATACGACATTATCAATGGTTTCTACTTTTACTGTAGTGACGGTGGAGGATGATGGTACTGGTGGTGGCAATGGGGATCTGAAGTGTCATTTGCGGTTTCTGATGGTGAGGGAGACAGATGGTTCTCATTTACTGATTCGAGATGATCTTCACCTAGTAGGGTAGCAATGCGCAGTGGGTGTGATGGGGGTAGGAGCAGGAGAAGCTGGTACATTAGGTACAGCAACAGGATCAAGAACATTATCCATATGCTCAATGGTAGGCAATGAAAGAATTGATGGTGGGACTGGAACGGCAATGTGTGGGGATGGAGGTCGTGCCACTGGGTTTGTAGCGATTCATTTTGTGATGATGTGGATAGCTTCTCTGATAGCCTCCTTAGTAGTAGCAGGCAGCAGACAGATTGCAGTATTATGAATGCATATATGAAGGTGGCATAAGATGGTCTTGTGACGGTCATCATCAAGAAGATTGGCGGTGCATTCAATAAGGCTGGCATCTCTAATGATTCTGATGATGAGTCCACTAGAGATTGCTCCACATTCTCCCAGGAGTCAATCTATCTCAACAGCATATTGTGGGGACATGATAGCGGATTCAAACAGGGTGTTGTTCTCGATCTCATCAAGAATTGTAAAGTAATCAGACAGGGTAGAGTCATTGGATAGGGTGGTATCGGACAAAGGTGGGGAAGCAACAGGGGGAGGTGTATTTTCAGCGGTGGCAAGATTGATAGCAGTGGTGAGTTGGTAGTCTGCAAGGGATGATGGATGGGCGATGTTTTCAGAGGCAGAGTTCATAGCAGTGGTAAGATATTGAATGTGGAGTAGGCAGCATTGTAGGTGTTCAATGGACATTGTTCAGAATTATAATTGATGGGTCTTTTTATATGCCAAAAGGACATCAAGGGCATTACCGAGGTTCTCTTCTGGGATCCATTCATTACTGGCAGAGGAGTATCCTTTTCAGGACACTAGATAGTGTCTTCGTTTACCCATACCTTTGTGCAATAGGACCACATTGATTTCATATTCTTCTTCATGATCTATGACATCTGGGGGAGGATCATGGAAGTTCAGACCGTGAATCTCTGTTTCATGATAGGACAATAGTTTGGAAGCATGGAACATGGGGTGAACTCTCCACTGGGGTGGTAGTTGGAGTGTGAATGTGATAGGTGATAGCACGGTGATGATAGGGAAGGGGCCATATCACTTTGGTGCAAGCTTTTGTGATGGTAGCTGTGTGATCAGGTTCTTTCCTGATAACCAAACCTTATCTCCTACTTTCCATGGGTGATACTTCTGCCCGTGTGTTCATTCTGCCATTCCTTGCATAGCAAGGTTGTGACAAGATAGCGCTTCTTCTCTGGATTTCTGAAGTAAGCAGAGTCATTCTTCTGCAGCAGGCACTGTGGAGTCAGGAAGGGTGTGTGGGAGAGCCTGGGGTTCATATCCCATCATAAGGAAGAATGGGGATGTATTTTGTGAGTCGTGTTTTCGATGGTTATGGACAAATTTGGCCATAGGAAGATGCTCTACCCAATCTTCAGGGTGATTACAGCAGTAGATGCAGAGATAAGTCTCGAGTTCCTGGTTGAGACATTTGGTCTGTCCATCCATCTGGGGATGATAAGCAGTCAAAGTGGCGATGTTGTATTTCAGGAGTTTAGTGAGGGCTTTGGAGAACTTTGATACAAACTGTGGTCCACAATCAGATATGACTTTCTCATGGAGACCAAAATGGTGATAGACGTATTTGAAAAATTTTGAGGCAATGCCTTCAGAAGTGATGGTTTTCATACAAGGGATTAGAATTACCCCCTTCATAAGGCCATGGTCTACCATGACCATGACAGAGTCAAAACCTGTGCATACAGGGAGGTTGGTAATGAGATCAACAGAGACTTGGGCAAATGACACAGAGGTGACAGAAGGGATAGGGACGAGAGGAGGAGTTACAGGGTGCATGTCAGATTTCATCTGCTGACAAAGAGTGCAACCGTCAACGTATTTCCTAATATAGGAGCCCATAGAAGGCCACCAAAAGTCACATTTCACAAGTTCTTCAGTTTTAAAACAACCCGGGTGACCGGCAGAAGCATGGTCATGACAACGTTCCAGAATCAGATGACATCTGGCAGGACAGACATAGGCACAATCTTTGTAATACAAGATGTCTTCTTTAATTGTCCAATCAGTGAGTGCAGATTTCATGGGGGGAAGTGATAAGCCATCAAGGGCATCTGTAGCCGCTTGGAAGATTGGATCAGGATTGGAGGGGTCTGGGTTTGCGAGGGTGGTCATAAGTTCAACATCCAGAAGTTGGACAAACATGGAGTCTGGAAGAAGGGTGACATCATCATTGTTGCCCTGTCCAGTACCATGATCAGGTTGTCGAGAAAGTGCATCAGGAGCAGTGAGCTTAGTTCCTGCAATGTGATGGAGTTCAATGTCATAACAGGAAAGGAGGAGTTGCCAATGTGCTTGGCAACAAGTCAATTTCTGCATGGTATGGAAGTAGAGCAAATTCTTATGATCCATAAAGACAATAACCAGGTGGGGGTTTCCTTCGATGTAATGATGCCATTCAGTAAGGGCATGGATGATGGCAAGAAGTTCTTGGTCAAAGATCTGATAATTTCTTTCAGCAGGGTTCAGAGTCTGGGGGAGGTATTCACACAGGTGATAGACTCCATTTTCATCAGTTTGTAGCAAAACTGCTCTGGTAGCAATGAGTGAAGCATCAGTGGTGACAGCAAACTGCCAACTGGGATCAGGGTTTCATAATACAGGTTGCTTCAGGAAGCATTACTTAAGTGTGGTAAACACAGAGGTACATGAGTCAGACCAATGGAATACTGTATCCTTCTTGGTGAGGTCGATTAAGGTTCTGGCAATGTCGGAGTAATGAGGAATGAAGTTACAGAATCCGAGGAATGACTGGACTTCTTTCACTGTGGCAGGGACAGGCCAGTCACAAATACTGTCGGTTTTCATGACATCCATTGCGACACATCCAGGACAGATGATCATACCCAAGTATTCAACTTCTTCAGCATCAAAGGTGCATTTTTCCAGTTTCAGGAATAAATGTTCTTTGTGGATTCTTTCCAAAATGCGATGAGTGCGAGCATGGTGAGAAGGAAGGTTGTTTGAAAAGATAAGGATGTCATTCATGTAAATGACCGACCAACCATCCTTCATTTATTTCTTGCTGGAAGGTCTGATTCATGTATGCTTGTAAGGTGGTGGGCAAGTTGCAAAGACTGAAAAACATGACATTGGGTTCGAAGAGGCCATA